TCTCACCTGTCTGCAGTGTTGGGACACCGTCAGGAGACAATCTCGTGTTCCTCGGTGAGGCATGTAGGCGTACATGGGCATCTGTCGAAGGGAGGCATGAACATGGTCAAGCAACAAACGGCAGTGGATGCCGGACATGACCTTGTTCATCGGGTGTTGAAGACAAATCGGTCTTAGTGCTTCCGGTTTATTAGGTGTTTTGTTTGGTTTGGCAAGAAGATGAACCCAACCGGTTGACCAATATGACGGTGGTTGACTCTGGGTGCAACACCATGCATGTCGAATACATGGAAACACAATTGGTGTGAGTATCTCGGCAAAGTGTCTCCAAAGCAAAGCTGGAAAGCCATCAGGGGCCAGAGCTTTAGTCACGGGAAGGTGTTGTAGTTCATAAAGAACATCAGCCTCAGTGAATGGCAAGCGGGTCAGGGCAGGCGGAGTGGGTATGGGTGCTTGTGAGTCCGTGAACAAGTCTTGAAAGTATTGGGTCAATCGTTCAAATTCTTGGGCTTGGGACAACGGTGCACCATACATATCAAACATCTGTATCCGCCTGAACGTCTGCTTGGGGCACAAAGTGCGGACTCGCTTGTACCAATCATGCAGTCTATTCTGAAGGACAAGCGGGACACTCCCTGCAAGAAAGGTATCTAATCGAATCCTACGATTGTGTCTGCTCTGACGACGAATGGCATGATGAATCTTCTCGAATCTAATGACATAGGATCAACCCCGGAATATGGCCTGCAATGAGACAGAACGTAGGCGGAGCAGTTGTCGTCGGGCATACCATATTTGAGCTGCCAAGGATTTGACCTGGGAGCACATCTGACAAGGCTGACTGACACGTGGGAAGTGTGTTTGGCATAGCTGGCGTACAGCCTGTTTAATCTGGATACATGTGGAAATCGGATCACACGTCTCCTGTGTGGTGGTGAGTGTGGGCACTGTGGATATGATTTCAGATTCGAAGTGTTGCCAATTCTCAGTCTGTGATTGAAATTCAAGCCTCAATCGATGGCGATCGATCGAATTAATGGGAGGGTTGATCCTTGGAGGAGCAAACCATTTAGGTAAGGACATGACCAGGGGGTGGTGCACAGGTGCACAGCATCCAACAGTTCGTTCGAACCGAGTCAGCACCTGGGCACGGTGTTTGATCCACTAAACTTGATGGCGACGCACAAACATGAAATCGATTCGATTGGAATGGTCGCCGTATTTGAATGTTGGAGTCCAGTGATGTTGACTGTGAACAGCAACTAAGTCCAATTCTCGAATCATGGTTTGAAAATCATGTTTATCGCACTGGGTGGCCTGACCATATTTAGGATCAAGGGAATGCACATGAGGTGCATCTGCAGTCAATGGGGTGTTGCAATTACCTGCAAGGAACAACATATGACTTTTCGGGAGATGTCGAATGCATTGTTTGATGGCTTCAAAAACCTTCATCCTGTCATGGAGAAGTGTTTGATGATCTTTCAATGAGCTCCAGGAGTGCTGGTAAATACAAAGAATATCGTGAATGTGGGTTAAATGCAGTCGGACATGTATGAGCCTGCCTGGACACAGTTCAGCCCATGCCAATTGGTCAGGGCGCAACAAACATCGACGGATCATGCAAAGAACAATGGCACGATGGCCATGTGAGTGCAGCATGTACCAATCACCTGACACCCATTGATTGCTGAAGCGCCAGCCCGTTTCCTGCAGGATAGCAACATCGTACGAGGTCTGTGTCAACCAGGGCACCCACTCGTCCAGCAGAAATCCGTTGGAAGCGTTCCAACAGAACACGTTCAATGAATCAGCTATTCTAGTCGGCGGAGATGTGGTCTGCACCTTCAAAGCAGGTGTACAAGTCTCCTGTAACAACTATTGACGGATCCGGAACGGGATATTAGAATATCAAAAATCCTTTCCACGATATTATGTGCAGCCGAAATTGTAGGCCCGCTTGCAGGCTCGGTGAAAGGCTCCTCTTAATTCGTTTGTATCTAGATGGATCCATAATTAACCGTAACGGCCTTCCCGGGAATATACCGGCAAAATATTAACACTTACGCCACTAAACGAGATCTCAATAACAACCCTCGCGCCAAGCATAGAATTTCCAACATCTATTATAAATCTAAATTAAATCATACCCCCTAGATTTAAGACCAAATATCTCAGCGTACCAAAAATCAAAATATATAGTAGCCACCAAAATTTCATCAAAAATTTGAAGGCAATCAAAGCACCAGAAAGGTAAAAACATATACGAAAAGAAGTACGGAAATAGCTACCAGGCTTAAAGCTAAGATACGCGCTTTAATATCTAATCAATAATATAATTTATATTGTATAGATATTATTATCATATTTATAAATTTGAGCGGGGAAACACGAAAGGTAGAAATGGACCGAGTAGCTGTCGGGACCTTTTCTGGTAAGGGACTGTCTCCGGTGTTTCAGGAACGTACCCCTTGGTCAATCAAGCATAAAACCAACAAAACCAGAGAGCACAAGAAGGCATAAAAAGACTCAAGAGGAATATCGTTACGGTCAAATTACGCCACACGGCTCTGCAGAGAGGCTACGTTGTATTTGTGTCTAGGTGTATGAAAATAGGCGCGCGTCAAAGTCGCAATGCGTAAACGCTCGCATGTGTACCAGCTATGGTCCCACAGCTACACGCACTGTATCAGGATTACAGGCCTGCGCGCATTGCGTCGAAGCCGCAATAATTCAATAACCAACCCCCCTTGTAAACATAATGCTAGAAGGATGCGGTCGGTACTACCAAGAATAGACGTCGCATTATTTCGCCACACTAAGGTATAAAGCTAAATCGAATAATATTCCGCGACACGAGGGGTTCTTTACAGAGAGGCTAGGTTACATCGATGCTCGTTAGTGTCGAGCAATATAGTCTATAATCGGAATATACGTTGTATCAGGCTGCCGGGTGCGCACGCGCGACATCGAAGCTATATTATACGATTTTATTATGCAAGGTTCGTGCTATATTACTCAACCTCAATGCATAATTTCCCCTTATATCCAGAATTTAATAAAAAAGGAAAGGACGAGGAGGGAACGAGAAAGGAAATGGAGGGGAAGAAGAGAGGGGGATCGAATCAATTAATTTATCAATTATAGGGGGGGATTGGGGGTGTTAGATATTAATCTACCAATCTTTAGTCCCGAACAAATTTTCAAACCAATCCCTTTGTTTCGCAAAATAAACTCAAAATACCCCTTACCAAGCTACCTTTCGTGATAATATTTATCATTTAAATAATTAATAGTTTTAAATTACAATCATTTGGATTCCAATATATTTATATGTTATATTCTTTTTAGATTTCTGCTTCATTTGTTTGAATATGATACCGCTTTGCGGATCAATTATTTCCAATTGCAAGCATCATAATTGCTGCCTAGATTGAGATTGTTCCAGCTGAAGCGCTTTTTAATGAGCCCCTCTGAAATACAAACTCCACCTTCGTCACCATCTCCATCCAATTACAGTATATGGAATTGTGCGACATGCATCAACATGCACTCTACACCTACATGTTTGAGGCAGGCGCTGCAGCAATCAGCTGGCATGTTGCGATCTACACCAGGTCCCCTGCTTCTGATCATTTTGCAATTGGGAAAAACATCTCATGAAACCTGGCTGAGGACCTGGGATCTGGCATAGCAAGCTGGGAAAAAAGCTACAGTAAATGATTTGACAAATTATTCCTTCTCTGCTCTTGTAGGAGCCCGGTTGAGGAAGCCTCTGAATGTCTTTGGACATCTCAGATTGCGTGTAAGTAAAGCGTACTTTACCGTCCACAGCGGTACAGCTACTCAGGCTCCTTCATCATCTTCTGCAGCTCATCACGCTGGGCGGCGTGGATCGAGGACACCATATTTATCTTCTGTACTTGTTTTCTGATCTCAGGGACAGCTAGTAAGCGAGCACAGCACAATGTCATTTGCGAAAAATGGCGGTCCGATCAAACATTTTGGTGCGGCTCACCCAGCAAAATTTGGACGTTCGTGACTGGACTGGGCGAAGCGATGTCCGATGTCCCACCGAGGCGGTTCCGGTGTCCCACGGCAAGTCCCACACCTCTTGCAGCAGCCGCTGGTACTCTCGCTCCAACTCTGTGATCTGCGCAAACGCCAACTCTGTTCTTGTGTCTCTCAGCATGTTTTGTTGAAAGTCTGCTAGAATCAACCCTAAACACACATTCAATTCTTGGGCCCTCATACAAGTTGAGCACCTGGTCACCTAACTTCAACTTTGAAGATCGAAAGACCCCTGCAATGGCCCACAGAAGGAAGACCTGCCGTCCTGGAGCATTGATCAAATGGACCCGATGCGTGAACACATTAAACCTGTTAGTACAGCATGGAGACTCAAGCACTCATGGCCCACAAGTGCTTCCAGCACTCATGGAGATGTTCGACACAGGTGGCTTTTCATCATCGGTTGTTGCTTGCGACACAGTGGCTGAGCACATCTTTTGGCATTTATTTTGTTCTCCGGCGCTCATCTGTACATGGAGCGTGTTGCAGGCACCAGGATGCCACCACTCTGGAGCCTCAAGCTGAGAATTTAGTGGCCAAAACCGTCCTTCTGCTGATCAAAGGAAGACGTGAGGTAAAACAACGATACAAAGAGCCTGCCACATATCTCTTGAATGATGACAATCATCTGTTCAGGCGATGTCACCCGTGAGATTGCGTTCTTAACCTAAAATGAGTAATTAAGAAAGCTTCTCCATATTATCTAGGAACCAAATCATTAGTGCTACGGCTTCTTCAAGGAAGCTTCCCCCCTCCCTCAGGCGGGAGCTTCCTTGAAGAAGCGTGAGCTATGCTGCGTCCATATGTAGCGTCTTAGTGGCCAAACGCAAACTTCTAATTAAGCAGGAGCGGGCAAAAAGGGAGGGCAATGAATCCTTGTGATCCGATACTTGACCGTTACAAATCACAGAAGTCGCCAGAAACCGTGCCTAGACCAACCAAATTGGTGGCGCCAGGACGGCGACCTGGCGCCGGAAGGGACGAACGAGTGGCACGAATCCGTGGCTTTTCATGTGTGCTTTTGCTTTTCCTCGGCGCTCAATGGTTTGAATAGGTTCCAATGGGTGCCACAAGTTGTTTCTCTTTCACTTTTGCTTGAAATACGGTAGTCCTCATTTAACTTATATAAGTACAGGCAAAATCAGTCCCAACGTCGAACATGCACAATGAGTTTATGCCCACTGCTTGTTCTCCAGTCTTTCACTCATACTTGCCACACCGAAGCGCGCCCTCCTGGTGAATATCATCCATGGACACGGAGATGGTGCCAGTCAAGGGGTTCACCGTGATGTAGCTATGGGTGTTGCCGCGGTTCTTGAAGGTGCCCCTTAGCAGTCGCTCGTTTCCCGTGCCGAAAACCCCACGCCTGCGAGGTGGAGGGGAGCATCAACGAAGCTGGACTGGAGCTGCCGGGATTCTTCGAGGATGAAAAACCCATGCCCATTCTAAAGCAAATCTGTTGAACCAGCATGCTTCAAAGCAGAAACACATCTCATATTGACCAAAGCCAAAAGGATCCAAAAGGTGACAAATATCTGCACTCTCACAAACTGTGTTGTTTGTGTCTCACCGATCTGCAACCCATTTTAGCAAATATAAAAGCTGTAAAACTTGTCTTCCATCAGGTATCAATACCTGTGGATTGCAGTTGCAGGTCTTTCTGATTTGACGAGCAACATGCGGAATGCTAGGCATCACTTCACGCAAAACAATAATGATGGCCATGCAAAGCATCAAACACCGTTCTGGTGGAGCCCTCCCACCTTTTGGAGGGCCGGTTCCCTCAAAGAATGAGAGGGTCTTGGATGGTCTTAGGGCCCTTTGGAGCTTTCTAGTTCAAGAAACATCCAACAGCGAACACTGTAAACCCAATGGACAACTTCGCAAAGCAAGGGACGGCAGCACACTGGCCACCAGTTCCCCATCAGGAGCAAAGACTGCAACACGCTCATTGCCCGTGTCCTCTCGCGGCATCATGGCTGCATTGGCCGGAAATTCCAGAGTTGGAGGAAGCAACCCCCGGGATTTCTCAATCCTTTGGTGACATTTCTGGGGAATCCAACAAAACAACCTGGCGAGGCACTGCAGAAATACTGCGGAAAATATGGTGAACATGCATTCAACACATTCTCATTCGCATTCAAACAGTGTCAAGACAGGAGCAAGGAACCCCTATCGCACACAGGTGATTCTGTTGGCTTCTAAAGTACTTTCCATACGAAGTGGCGAACAAGTTCTTGCAAACGGCACGGCGGGCATGCGTTCGGTAGCATTTTCAGAATCCTTGCAAACCGGTCTCGCTCAAAACAACCAGCATCCAATATCTCCTCAAAGTAGACTTACACGGAGTTGGTGCGTTGTCCAAAAATACCTCCAGTTATATATATATATATACACGCACGGACTTCCGCAAGACTTACGCACATGCAAGCTTTCACTTGCGTGAGCACCGATTGAAAACAATCGGATCATGTAAGCTGCTGTCCCCGGGTGAATTGAAGGATAGGATTGGGTTCGGCAAGTGCCACGAACTCAATCTGGGCACCAAGGACACACCGGACAACACCACACATTAATTGTTTTGGCAAGTTTGCCAAAAATGACCTTAAGCCCTGGGAAAAATTCAATGTACACTCCTTCTTCCAACCGTGGAATGTTGCATTGTCCATCCACAGTACAGCCATCATTTTGTGAAAAGACCTTTGTGAGAACAGCCTGCCAAAAACATGGCAAGCAGGGCAAATCTTACACTCTTGTTTGGACCACAGGTTTGGTACCCTTTCTTGCGCAGCCTGCGACAGTAACGCAAAACTTGCCATATATATATATAGTGTACATAAGCGCAATTCGCTGGGATCAGACGGATCAGAATTTCAGCAGTTCGTCTTATTTCCAATGTCCTGTAGCTGTTGCCGTAGACCAAGAAAACCACATGTTGAGGGACAATAATTGATTGGGTCAAGTCAAGTATTCAAATTATGTTCCAGAAAGACACATAGTTTTCATCGGCCCCAGCTTCTCACTCCTATGATTTTCAAGGTTTGCTTGCAACCTGCTACTATGGTGCATTAAGATTCTATTTTTCTTGTGCTTTTGTACATCGTTCCTTTTTCCAAAGAAACTACTTAAGGACCGAGATTAGCCAAAGAGATTTTGGAATAGAGAGGGGGAGGCTGTGTGGGGAAGGCGTGGGAAAAAGGATATATATATATAATTTTGTCTGGAAATCATAGATTTCCAATATACTGGGATCAAATGACTTAGGTCTATGCAAGATTCCTTTGTCATTTTGCCTGAGTGTCATTTGTTTTTAGCCTCTTTCCCCTGCCCTCCCCGGGAGGCATCTGCTCTCCAAACGGTCTGCTCGGAGCCCACGAAAGATTCCTCGTTCCAGTTTTGCATGCATTTTACGGTAAACTATTTGCGCCAGTTGAATGAACATGAGTCAATATAACGGACCAGGACAGATCCTTCAACCGCAATACCTGCTTAATTGCCATCGACGCTGCGTCAAAGAACTTCTAAATTTTTGAGTACACGTTGCTGTATTGTGCTGCAAGCACTGAGTGTTTACTGACTGTAACAACTACCTTGTCAAGACCAAAGATCCAACTCTGCATTGCAAGCGACCAAGAACCCTCACCCTGCAAACAAAACAGCTGATACATATACATTGGATACGCCAAACTATTGCAAAACGCTTCAGCACACGCATAGAAATCCTTTACATGGCACACAGTACGTAGCAGGAGATCCATTGTAGTTGGAATAGTCTTGCAAAGGTTGAAGTTACCATGATGCACTGTAGGGGCTATAGCGCACAAACTATTTTGAATGAATTCCTACACACACAATTTCATAATGCTTTGCCCACCTGTACCAGGTGCTGTTTTACATTCACATGCAACTAACAGGCAAAAGCCATTGTGTGAACATGCTGGGATTAATTACACCACATGAAACCGCTTCTAAATTGTTTGCTTTGTTTGGCTGTGTTTGCTTTCCTCCTCTAGGTCCAAGTTAAAACCACTCATTTCCAAGCGACTCGGGAGTCTTCAAATTCTTGCTCTTTCAACGTGGCAGCGGGCCTGTCTTGGGAAGGAACCTGTCGTCTTGGAAGGCCCTTGATGTCGCTTTGGAAGGCCAGGGGCGTCTCTGAAGCGAGACATTGATAAAACACATCTCGCATCCTCCCGCCATTCCAAGTGCCTCTGCAGTTGTTTCTCCAACTTCATCGGACTGTTTGTTCATGTTTGTTCCGAGTCTGATGGACATCTGGGAGTGTCTGCTCCCTTGACCCAGGGAAGCCGGAAACCCTCCCTCCGCAGTCCATCACCAGCACGTTGCCACAATTGTCCACCGCCACATCGTTGGGAATCTTCAACTCGCCACCTTGCGTGAAAATGCTTTTAGATTGGAGGCCATCGTCATGGATGGCGGGATAGATGGCATTGACCAAGTGCCCAACCCTCAGAAACAGCCTGGCTTTTGAGTTAGGACTTGACAGCTGAAGAATTTGGCGTGCTATACAAAGACATGTATACGTATATATTATTGTCTATTGACAATCAATGTCGTCTTTCACCACCTTTCCATTGAAGAAACACCTACTGCATCAACAATAGAGGGTTCCTCCCACTCTTTTCCCAACAAGTGAGCTATCCCCCAGTCTGATAATCGCATGTATTCTGAAAAAAACATCACCTGTGTACATTTGATATGGGACAGGTAACAGTTCTCTTGCCGTTGTCAGCCTCGTTTGCCCTAGTTGTAACTGCGCTCGAAGAGTTCCAGAAAATGGACTTGTTCCCAATCCTGTAACACAAAGTGACCGCCGACATAGGAAACCGCGTGTGTGCCTACTAGTGGAAGAAAACTGAAGTGCCCATCACATCACTTGCTTGCGGCTCAACATGCCTCAACAAGCAGAAGCTTGGTCGTTGGTCCTAGTCGCTGATCTAGACCCCTAGTCGCTCATCTGACCTTTTCTCAGTTTTCTCGAGCTTGTGATTCTTCGTGGGTATTTTCACCTGCTTTGGAGTCTTCAGTTTCAAAATGCTATCATCTTCATACATCTTCATCCATCTGCCCCATCTATTATCATCTATATATTTCTCCAGTTCCCCCCATCTGCCCTCCCCCATCTTCATCCAGCTTCACCAATCGCTGGTCCGCCTCCAATGGTGTCCAATGGATTGCCCTCCAAATCCAGCACGCGGACCTGTTCGGCTCAACCAAACTGTGGCAAAGGAACTTGGATCTAGGAGCCCACCCTGGATTCTTGAATATGATAACGAGGAGGAGGAGGGAGGAGGAGGAGGACTACGATAATTCAGCATAGCGGGATTACTTCCGCACTGGGGGAAGCCCAGCCCCAAAGAATAAGCCCAAGCACGTAACTTTTTCATGGTTTCCAGCTTCCAAAATCATTAGGTCCAGATTCTGCTGTAGAGCCAGCATGTGAGAACCCCCTCCCAAAGCTCTCACAAGAACATGGACATCAAGAGGCATTGAAATTCACTTGGGAGTCATCAAAGGCATTTCAGACTAGGTGCACTTCCAGTCATGAACTTCTTTCAGTCAATCTGAGTGTTTCACCTAAACAGCAATCGTTTCTTTGGATATTCAATATAAGTGAATCGAATCTCAATCCAAGTCCAGTGAAGAGAGCGGACATTTAGTAGCCATTGATCCAATGGTTCCGAAGACAAAAAACAAGAAATAACTCCAAGGCCCTTGCATTCACCCACCTAAAGTCGTCCTCAAATGGTGACCCCTAGCACCTTAAACATCTTACAAGTAGGAGCCACCTACTCGCATGCCAGGGCACCTACTAAAGCAACTCTGCCACCTACATCGCATGCCCTTCTCTTCTCTTCTCTCGGCCTCGTTGGCACCGCGGTCGGCCACGAAGAGGCGGTCGTCCGTCACGCAAAGGCCACAGGGATGTTGAAAGCCGTCGAAGGTGGTCACTTGCTCACCAGTCTCAAAGTCGAAGACAACTGACGAAACGAGTCAGAGCCGTCATGTGCTCCAGACAGTCGACAGTCTGCGACGTGACTTTGGGATCTATATACATCAATGATCGATGTGATGTGATAGATTTTCACAAACACACAACATACCTATGCACACCCTTGGGAAAAGGGCGACAACATGTGAAGTACCTTTGCACTGATGTTCTTGTGCCGAACATTTCTGGGGACCCTTGCAAAATCCCTAGAAGGAGTTGAAGAAGTGACAAATGAGGGATCTCATTCTCACCCACTTCAACGACCGATTCACTCCTCTTCTGCACCCTTCTGGCCTACGGACTTCGAACGCTTCTCTCGAGCTGCAGAGTCGCCAGTTCGAGCTGCAGAGTCGCCAGTGGTCCAGCGGTGAGAGAGGTAAACACGACCTGCCAGTTCTCGAGTTGCTCGGAGCCATTGGTGAGCCACAACAAGATGGAGCCCACGAACCCGAATGCAAACACGTTCAAAAAGCTACATATGTCCAAATGACACTCTTGTAGGACACTCCTGTGGGACACTCTTGTGGGTCACACTTGTAGGAAACTCTTGTGGGAC